AGCTATGTCTGGGCCAGGCTGAAGCCAGGAGCCAAGAACTCCATCCACATCTCCCACATGGGTGACAGGGGCCCAAGCACTTGGATCATCATCTACTACTTTCACAGGTGCATTAGCAGAGAGCTGGATCAGAAATGGAGTAGCCAAGACTCAAACCAGGCACTCTGGGGCCAGCACCGTGGCTCACTTGGTTAATCCTCCGCCTGAGGCTCCGGCATCCCATATGGGCTCCGGGTTCTAGTCCTGGTTGCTCCTCTTCCAGACCAGCTCTCTGCTGTGGCCCTGGGAAGGCAGTGGAGGATGGCCCAAGTGCTTGGGCACCTGCACCCGCATGGGAGACCAGGAAGAAGTACCTGGCTCCTGGCTTCAGATTGGTGTAGCTCCAGCCGTGGCTGCCATTTGGGGGGTGAACCAACGGGAGACCTTTCTCTCTGTCTCTGTCTCTCTCTCACTGTCTAACTCTATCTGTAAAAAAAAAAAAAAGGCACTCCGACTTAGGGATGCTGGCTTCCTAAGTGGCAACTTAACCACTCTTAAGTCTGTCCCAGCTAATGGTTACCAAGTGCTGTTCTAAAAGCTTTATGTATGATCCCATTTAGTTGTTAAACATGGTTCTGTTACTATCCACATTTGGCCCTTAGAGGTATGGAAAGCACAGACAGCTAATGTAACTTAACCAGAATCACACAGCCAGTAAGCTGGAGCTGACTCCAAAGGCTGTCCCTGCAGTCGGCACACAGGACTCTGGGTAAGCTGGTCGGGTGTATCCAGCAGAGGGCAGCTGCCACAGGCTGCGCAGCTTTCAGCACGGCTATTAGGGGCCTTGTCTCGGCTTTCTCTGTTTGCTTTTTTTTTTTTTTGACTTATGGGAAAGTCTTCCAATTGTTAAAGCAACTATACAGGTAGCATAGATTATCTCCCCTTCTCCCAGCTTTATAAAAGAGGAAAGATTTAGTTGGGGGAGTATGTTTCAGTATTGGACACTAATTACTAAGAGTAATAGGTAGAAGTGTAAAGTTAGTAGCCGAATCCTGAAAATGCTCAGTCATATGAAACCTGTCATAAAAGTACTCACACTGCACCTGAGCAAATCTTCATATAGCAGTGGTTTTATTATAACCTTGATTTCACATACAAGATAGCTTCATTTATGATGAATTCACTGAAAAGTTTAAATGCCACAGTGTAGATTTTCAGTCTCGAATTTCAGAAGGTATTTAAATGGTAAAAGAACCACAGAGTTCCTGAACCTGGCTCCCAGACAGGTACATGCCACTTGCTCCTGTGTTTCAGGGAGAAGTCATAACAGGCATTGCTGATGCAGTGATTCAGTCGTTCCTTCTGCACACTGCGACAGTCAGGTTCGCGTTTCTCACTTTGGAAGGAAATCGATGACTGTTGCACTCTTTTTACTTGAGAGCTGTCACTCAAGAGATTGATTCCATGACCATTCAACCCAAAAGTTCCCAGAGACGAGAATAGAGGCCTCCTCATAAAGCAAACTACTGGGAATGTGTAGCTGGTTCCACTCTAGGTTTGTAGTTGATTTCAGATAATATGAAAACATCATTCCCTTGGAATATAAAGTTCTTGATTCCACAGTAAATGATAGGGTAAGAAAACTCGTAGTTGAATGACAGCGTCCTTGTGACGAGACAGCTGTTTCCCAGGTGGATGTCACCAATTCTAACTTCTGTGTCATTATCAAAGGGTCTCTTTCTTATTCTGGCTACCAACCAATCAGAACACACTGAAGTCACTGCTGGCTCACGTCCTGAAGAATGCCAAAATGGTAAAGAGAGGAGGAAGAACTCGCCTAAGAGCACACAGGCCTTCATCACGCCAGACTACAGGACACAACACTCACAGGGAATAGGAAGCAGCTCTGTTTGCTTTTTATTTTTTATTTTTTAATTTTTTTTCATTTGACAGAGTTAGACAGTGAGAGAGAGAGACAGAGAGGAAGGTCCCCCTTCCGTTGGTTCACTCCCCAAATGGCCACTACGGCTGGCACTGCGCCAATCTGAAGCCAGGAGCCAGGTGCTTCTCCTGATCTCCCATGCAGGTGCAGGGGCCCAAACACTTGGGCCGTCCTCCACTGCCCTCCCGGGCCACAGCAGAGAGCTGGACTGGAAAAGGAGCAGCCAGGACTAGAACCCGGCGCCCATATGGGATGCAGGCGCCGCAGGCGGAGGATTAACCAAGTGAGTCACGGCGCCGGCCCTGCTTTTTAAATAATTGTGTATATACGCGTGCCTGGGTCATGTGTGCTCATGCTTTAGTTTCCCATGATCTGAGAGGATATTCAGTGAGGATCAAGCTCCTATCCAACCCCCGAGGCCCCTGCGTGCCCCAAACTCTGTCCAGTTTGGGCAGAGGTGGTTCATGCGCACAGCTGAGATGGGAACGGCGCTGCCGCCCTGTTTTCTGCGCACTGCTTTCTTCATTTAACAAATTATTCTGTCATCCCATAACAGTGAGAGCTGCCTCATTCTTTTGCTTGTTTAACATTTTTTAAAATTTATTTGAGCCGGCGCCGCGGCTCACTAGGCTAATCCTTCGCCTTGCGGCGCCGGCACACCGGGTTCTAGTCCCGGTCGGGGCGCCAGATTCTGTCCCGGTTGCCCCTCTTCCAGGCCAGCTCTCTGCTGTGGCCAGGGAGTGCAGTGGAGGATGGCCCAGGTGCTTGGGCCCTGCACCCCATGGGAGACCAGGAAAAGCACCTGGCTCCTGGCTCCTGCCATCGGATCAGCGCGGTGCGCCGGCTGCAGCGCGCCGGCCGCGGCGGCCATTGGAGGGTGAACCAACGGCAAAGGAAGACCTTTCTCTCTGTCTCTCTCTCTCACTGTCCACTCTGCCTGTCAAAAAAATAAAAATAAAATAAAATAAAATTTATTTGAAAGGCAGATTTAGAGAAACAGAGTCTTCCATCCGCTGGTTCACTCTCCAAATGGCTGCAAGGGCCAGGGCTGTGCCAATCCAAAGCCAGGAGCCGAGAGCCAGGAGCATCTTCAGGGTCTCCCACATGGGTGCAGGGGTCCAGGCACTTGGGCCATCTTCTGCCTTCCCAGGAGCATTAGCAGGGAGCTGGATGAGAAGTGGAGCAGCTGAGACCCAAACCGGTGCCCATATGGGATGCTGACATTGCAGGCGGTGGCTTAACCCAGTACGCCACAATGCTCATTCCTTTGAGCAGTTTCTTAGGGCACTGCAGTTGTGTACCATGCCCCTGTAAGACTTTCGGCTGCCTCACAGCAGAGTGCCCAGGTTCCATACCCACCCCGGCGCCTGATTCTAGCTTCCTGCCACCCACACGGAAGACCTGGGTTGAGTTCCCAGCCCCCAGCTTCCACTGCTCGGTCCCAGCCGTTGCATACGTTTGGGGACTAAACCAAGGACGGGAATGCACACTTGTACTCGCTTTTTCTTTCTCCCTCTCAAAAAAATTTTTAACAAAAAATGACTAAGCTATTCTCAGAGTTGTCCTTTCATAAGCAAGGATGCACAAACATCCTCATTTTATACACACACATCCATATGTATGGCCTCCCACACGTGCAGGTATAGCTACAGGATGTATCCTGATGCGGTCACCGTGTCTGAGGGTTTGTGCTTCGGAATGCCGGAGCGGGGGCTGAGTTGTTCTTCCGAGAGCCTGCGCTGGTTTCTGTTCCGGCAGCAGGTTTGAGGGGTGTGTGTCCTCGTAATCTCCTTACGGAAGTTTTGTGTCTGTGTGCTTGTGCTGTTGAAATAATGGGATGACAATAAATGGTCACTGCGTTGTTCTGCTGTAAGAAAGCAATGAGGGGCTAGCGCCGTGGCTCACTTGGTTAATCCTCCGCCTGCAGCGCCGGCATCCCATATGGGCGCTGGGTTCTAGTCCCGACTGCGCCTCTTCCAGTCCAGCTCTCTGCTGTGGCCTGGGAAGGCAGTGGAGGATGGCCTAAGTGCTTGGGTGCCTGCACCCACATGGGAGACCAGGAAGAAGCACATGGCTCTTGGCTTTGGATTGGTGCAGCCCCGGCTGTAGCAGCCATTTGAGGGGGTGAACCAATGGAAGGAAGACCTTTCTCTCTGTCTCTCTGTCTCTATCTGTCCAAAAAAAAAGCAATAAGCCAGGGCCAGCGATGTGGTGCAACGGATTAGCTACCACTTAAAATACCAACACCCCGAATCTTGTAACAGTTCAAGCCCTGGCTGCTGCACTTCTCATCCGCTCCCTACTAATGTGCCTGGGAAGGCAGCAGGTGATGGCCCATGTGCTTGGGCCCCTGCCGCTTATGTGGGAGACCCACGTGAAGTTCTTGGCTCCTGACTTTGGCCTGGATGAGAACAGATGTGGCTGTTGTGGCCATTTGGGGAATGAACCAGTGGGTGGAAAAATCTCTCTCTCTGCCTCTCTATCAAATAAACAAATCCTTTTAAAAAGTTCAGTAAAAAAGGAGACCCAAAGATAAGTTTAATTTTTTTGAAAATGACCAAAGATGAGTTCCTTTTAACTCCTAATCATTTCCCGAGTTCAGGCTGCAGACTGACCCCGTGCATGGTCCTGGGCGACAGGGGCAGCGAGCTCTGTGGCTTTTTCCCGACGCTAGCAGCTCCTCTTCTAGAGGGAGACCTTGGAGAGGTCGCTGTGGCCCGGCACGCATTGTTAGGCACGGGCTGGAGTGCGAGAACAGGAGCAGCAGTCAGAGCTATCTTAGAGGAGCTGCCAGGGACCGTGGACCGCGTTTAGCGCAGGTGGCCCGCGGCGGCCCAGGTGGAGAGTCGGAAGTTGCTCCTGCGGGATGGTGAGCTCCCCGGGGCCGGGGCTGCTGTGTGCCTCGGCTGGAGCTCGCGTCTGCAGGCAGGAAGTCCACTGCCTGTGATTGGAGAGCCGGTGCCGGTGGAGATAATGAACTCGGTAGTGTCGGCAGAGGCGATTGGCTGCGCCCTGCTGCAGTGAGAATGCAGACTGGATGCTGGGTCCTGGGCTAGAGGAGCGAGGACAGCTGAATAATTGGGAGCCTGAAGTTGCTTCTGCCTCACGGAGAGGTCTGCCTGGCAGCCGGCTCTCCACTTTCTTTAGAAAGGAAACGTTTGATCATCCTCCACCTGCAGAAGTGAGTTTTGGCTGAAGAAGCTCCAGCTGCTCTCCTCCATGCCAGCAGCCAGTGAGACTCCCGTAGACTAGCTACTTCTCAGGCTGCGCACGACAGCAGTGCTAGCAAATCTGAAAAGGCAGGAAGCAGCCCCTGCATGCACAGCTCCCAGCCTGAGCACTCCTGGGCCACTCTTCCCAGCAGCTGTGTGGCCAGAGACCCTTGGCATTGCGGTCACATCCCGTGCAAGTGAGCGGTCCCCGGCGGCGGCGTCTGGAGGAAGCCGGCATGCTGCAGATGCTGCGGCATTTTCTGTCTGGCTTTTTCCCTGGGGCTGGGTGCCAAGGCTCCAGGGAGGGGGATGACCATGAAGTCAGAGGCACCCAGGCTCCTGCCCGGGGAGATCAGATGGCAAGCTTTTTGGGGAAGCAGGACGGAAGGGCCGAGGCCATGGAAAAGAGACCCACCATTTTGCTGGTGGTCGGACCTGCAGAGCAGTTTCCTAAGGTAAGGGCAGCCTGGGAGGCCCTCCCAGCCTGGGGCTGGCCCACATGGTTTTCCTGAAGAAGAGCCACTGGGGTGGGGGTGGGGGGGAGGATTTAGCAAAGAGGAAAAAAAAGTCGCTGTGGTTTTGAGGGTCTGGAGAAGTGTTAGGCAGGGAAGGGGCCCCGGACACGCCCACTCTAATGACCACCCCTGCGGGGCTGGCTGCTGAGGGCAGGAGGGCTGGTCAGTGGGTTGGCTGTGGGGTTTGTCAGTGTGGTCACAGAAGGCCATTGGAAACTAAGGGACAAGCCAGTAAAGCCTGCCTTAGCTTATCTGTACAGTGCAGGGAGGACTAGCCAAGGGGCAGGAGACGCAGCTTTGACAGTTGACCACAGTGCCTGGTGGGGGAGGGGAGGTGCAGCCTGAAGGTGACCCTCCCCCAGCCCTGAGTGCGGCTGTCACCTCTGACCCTCATGGGAGCCAAGGTGAGTGATGACCTCCCATTTCACAGAGCAAGAAAATAAGGTGCAGAGGGACAAATGATTTGCCTGGGGTGAGGAATTAAGGAGTCCTGGAGCTGAAATTAAGCCCAGGTCTGCCTGGGGCTTTGCCCTGTGCTGTCTTGCTTTCCTGAAGAACCGCAGTTTCTGATGGGACTCGCTGAGTGCTGAGGGGCGGAGCGGAGGTTGTCATTTGCCTGGGTCTCTCCCCCTGCGGTGGGAGTGGCCTTGTTCACCTCCGAGCCCTTTCTCCTTCCTCAGGGTCAGCATCAGTGGGAAAGGGAAGGAGGTGCTCGAGTCCGGCACATTGCAGATGCCCCAGAGGTGTTGGCTGATGTGAATGTGCATTTAAGAAATAAACACTCGCTTTCTGTTGCTGCTAGACAGGAACTTTTGCAGTCCTGGGAGAGTCCGAGGCCTTCTGGTGGGCCTCTCCGGTTGAGGGGCTGGGCCGGGTGAGATGGGCAGCTCTGTGGGGACCTTTCCCCGGGCACACTCTTGCCTGATGCCCGGGACCCTTTAATAATTAACTGCCCTATTTCCCAGCCTCAGCCTGCACGCTTGCCAGCTGCCCGCCCGAGGTCGCCTCGCTAGGACTGTATGTTCTCAGCAGCTGAGCGCCTGGCCTGCAGACTGCAGAGCCCCATGGCCGGCTCTGGCTCTGCTCCCTGCCGGGAGGTGGGGCCAAGCCCAGTCTGAAACGGGAGAGAAAGCACCTCTGGGCACCGATGGCCCCAGGCAGGACAGGCTGGCTGGGAGGGTGGAGGGCGTCTGAGGCCCCATCTCCGTCTCCGCTCTGCAGAGAAGTGCACCCCGGCTCGCAGGCTTCTCTGTGTCCCAGAACCCCTACTCTGTTTTGCTCTCACCTCCCCCATGTAAATATGTCTGCTGGTGACTCAGGTTCCTGTGAACCTTGATTCTAGGAACCTGGCCAGTTTCCCCTGTATCGTCCTACAGCTAATCTGCCGTTGGAATGGACAGCCATTACCCTGGAGTGGGAGGTGCCCTTGGCCGCCGGCAAGCTTTCAGATCCCAGGGGGCTGTCTTCTTAGAAGCTCAGAGAATTTAGCTCATTGTGTGTGCGATTACCAAGTGCAGGCAGCTTTCATTGGAAACCGGGCTACCCTGGGCTGTCATGGCAACCTGACTATCAAATGACACCATGGCTGCAGCAGCGAATGAGGTGGGAGAGCTGCAGGGTGGGCGGGGCCTGCACGGCCGGATGCTGGCGAGGCTCTTTCACAGTACTGCAGGCTTAGCCTGAGTCATGCAGAGGGAGGGGAGACTTCCTGACCTAATGCTACACCCCCAAAGGCGCTATACCTGCCCCGTTCTTACTCACGGTACCGTGGCATCCCAGCCGTCCCAGGAAGCACCTGCCTGGGGTTTTTTGGCATGTAGCAGAGTGGCAGAACAAGGAAAGCTCACGGTGGCCTTGGCCAGTTGGCAGGTGATGGTCATGAGAGGAACTGCTTGCTTTACAGAGGAGATGAAATCTGATGCCGCCGTGTTCTGAGGGATCTAGGGGCCGTCACAGAAAAGGCTGCTGAGAGGGGAACAGGAGTTGGTGTGGTCAGCACCCTGCAGCACATCCCCGGAGCCCGGGGGCTGTGAACCGTGCGAAATGGCAGGAATGCAGCCTGAGCCCAGCTTTGCTTCTTCCTAAAGGTGCTGCTCATGTCCATGGTCAGACAGGGCTTTGTGTTGTTTTCAGCTGAAGCTAAACTTGTTCAAGTTACACCTTTCCCACATACCTGCCACCTCCCAGCATGAGGCATTGCTTACTCTGCCGGAGTCCGGCTCACAGGTGTCTTTGGAAATGGAGTTCTGGCCCCGGGAATGGAGTGTTCCGAAATCTGGCAGTGTCAGTTTGGGGTGCTGATTTAAGTGGATGTTGTAATAGGAGCCCCGCCGTGCTGCAATCAGGTCAACTTTCCAGGCCTGTTAGCTCCACTCAGATTCTTTTTTTTTATTAGAATTTTATTTATTTATTTTTAGGATTTATTTATTTGAAGGCTGGCGTCGCGGCTCAATAGGCTAATCCTCCACCTGCGGTGCTGTCACACCAGGTTCTAGTCCCGGTCGGGGCGCCGGATTCTGTCCCGGTTGCCCCTCTTCCAGGCCAGCTCTCTGCTGTGGCCCGGGAGTGCAGTGGAGGATGGCCCAAGTGCTTGGGCCCTGCACCCCATGGGAGACCAGGAGAAGCACCTGGCTCTTGGCTTCAGATCAGCACGATACGCCGGCCGCGGCGGCCAATGAAGGGTGAACCAACAGCAAAAGGAAGACCTTTCTCTCTCTCTCACTATCCACTCTGCCTGTCAAAAAAAAAAATTACTTATTTGAAAGACAGAGTTACAGAGAAAGCAAGGAGGAGAGATAGAGATCTTCCATCCGCTGGCTCACTCCCTAAATAGCTGCAACAGATAGGGCTGGGCCAAGCTGAAGTCAGGGTCTCCCTTGTGGGTTCAGAGTCCCAAGCACTTAGGCTGTCCTTTACTGCTTTCCCAGGCACATTAGCAGGGAACTGGGTCGGAAGTGGAGCAGCCAGGACTGGAACCGGTACCCATATGAGATGCCAGCACTTTAGCCAGCACCTTTAAAAAAAAAAATTATTTATTTGAAAGAGTTACACAGAGAGAGAAGGAAAGGCAGAGAGAGAGAGAGATAGAGAGAGAGATATCTTCCATCCATTGGTCCATTCCCCAGTTGGCTGCAACAGCCAGAGCTGCGCCAATCCGAAGCCAGGAGCCAGGAACTTGTGGGTCTCACATGTGGTGCAGAGGCACAAGGCATTGGGCCATCTTCTACTGCTTTCCCAGGCCATAGCAGAGAGCTGGATTGGAAGTGGAGCAGCCGGTACTTGAACCAGCGCCTATATGGGATGCCAGCACTGCAGGTGGCAGCTTCACCCACTACGCACAGCACCAGCTCCCAACCAGCAGCTTTACCCACTACACCACAGTGCCGGCCCCCTCAGAGTCTGTCTGTCTGTCTGTCTATCTATCTATCTATCTTTCTATTTATTTATTTATTTTTATGTATTTGAAAGGCACAGCACAGAAAGTGAGAAACAGAGATTTTTATCTATTGGTTCACTCCCCCAGTGCCCACAACAGCCAGGTCAAAGCCACGGTCCCAGAATTCGAGCTGGGTCTCGTGTGGGTGGCGGGGGCCCACACTCTGGAGCCGTCCTGGCTGCCTCTCAGGGTGCATTGCAGGGAGCTCGGTCAGAAGCAGAGCAACTGGGCTTGGAGTGGCTCTCCAGTGTGGACGTGCGTGTCGCAAATGGCCCAGCCCACTGCTCCAGCACCCATGACCCTCAGCTCGGATTGAGGGGACGATCCAAGAGCCCAAACAGCCCCATAGTGTGCAGGTCCCTGGGGGTGGGGTAGGGGGTTGGGGGAGCAATTGCTACAAACCAGGCACCCAGAGATTGCCTCATTTGGAAAGAATCCCTGACTCCAGTGTGAAAATGGCTTTGTGAATTACCTGTGACACCAAATGCAATGGTGGTTTTAGTAAATTAGCAAACACCAGCTTAATTTATCTGGTGGGGCTCAGTCACAGTCACAAAATACAAATAAGTTAGAACCCTTTTTAAACTAATGTTGGAATAGAATTGACGTTAGCATTGTCAAACAATGTGTCAACAAGGACACGTAGAATGTTTCAGAACTTTCCCTGACCTCTGACCCCGATACTGTTTTCTCTGTAGAGTGATGTGCTTTGTTAGATCAAGATTCCATTCTTCTTTTTCTAGAAAACAATGGCTCTTTCTTTGATAATACTTTAATAATTTCTGTTTACAATATAGATCATAGCTTTCACTTTTATTTTGGATTGTGTTTTAAGTCTCAGATTATTTTGTAAATAAATCATAAAACGCAGGGGGACAGATATATTTACCAAAATGATTGGAAAATAGTCTTTATTAGAGATTGAGCATCTCAAGCTGAAGAACTTGGGCGTTCCAAGATATTTGCCATTTTTATTGGAATGACTGTACTCAACAGTAAAATGAGATACTTCAACAGGAGTTATTTTAGCTCCAGAGGCAAACATGAATGATTTAATGAAGGAAGACACATTTTCAGATTCGGCTCTTTTATCTATGAATATAACTTCCTTTAAAATAAAAATAGCAGGGCCGGCATTTGGCCGGCAGTTGAGGCCTGTCCTGTGTTGGAATTCCCAAGTTTCATGCCCAGCGCTGGCTCCTGACTCCAGCTTCCTGCCAACACAGGGCCTGGGAGGCAGCAGGGGTGGCTCAAGCAGCCAGGAGGCCTGAGTGAGTTTCCAGCTCTAGGCTTTGGCCTGGCCTCGCCCTGACACTTATAGGCATTTGGAAATGAATCATCAGGAAGGGTCTATCTCTCTACCTCAAAAAATAAGTAAAAACTTATTAAAATAATAATAATACATTACCCTGGGGCCAGTGCTGTGGCATAGCAGGTAAAGCCACTGCCTACAGCACCAGCATCCCCTATGGGCACTGGTTCAAGTCCCAGCTGCTCCACTTCC